CTAATTTGCATTTCATACAACTGATCTGATTAATTTGTATTTTTTTTGTTTTTTCACTTTGTTTTTTATTTCTTTTATTTGGTTAGTTGGATTTTGATCAAGTGGTTATGGGAATCGAGTGACAGAACACCTTGAAATACTCGATTTGTTTTGTTTGGTAAATTCTAGTTATTTAAGCTATTCTGCCACTTGGGTGACGGGAGGGTGTAAATCACCCGAGTTTTCATTAGACAGACCCATAATATATTCATATAATCATATACTTCCTCGGTTCCAAATTATGAGATATTTTGGTATTTCTAGATTCATAGCTTTTATTATGTATCTAGATATAACATATATCTAGGTGCGTAAAAAAATATGAATCTAAAAAAACAAAATATCTTATAATTTATAATAGATAAAGTATATAATAATAATCAGACCCGAGTCAGTTAGCAAGAAAGACAAAACTTATATTTGATACAAGTTAACACATTATTCACCCATATCCATCGATCATATCATCACAAAACTTATATCACACTTAGCTTGATCGTATCAGCCATGCTTATCAGTTATGATATAGTATTTTTCTCTTACAATACAAAACAGCATCAGCCGACTTATAAGCCACAGAAACGATCAAGCGAAGAGGGTGATAAATGAGTTTTATCTTCATAATTTACATCAGTATATGACAGCGTAATTACTACGTACCTATCAGTTAATATCGCCTCGATCTTCATCGTCTTCTCCAAGCTAGTTGGCAATTTGACATACCTCTGCTGGCTAAGCTTGTTTGCATGCGTACATGCACGTGTTCACACGCACGTACGGTCGGCCGAGCGCAACCGCGATGTTTGCCGGCCGCTCACCTCACCTTCTCATCTCTTAGCCCTGGACGCTCGCCGGCTGAGCACCACCCAGTAAAGCACCCGGTAGAGAAGGAAGAAGCCGAACAGAACCTGCACGCCGGTCCACCTCTCCTCCGCCGTGAGCCCCTTCTCCACCAGCACGTCGCGCCCCGTCTCCGAGCACTCGCTGCCGTCGGCGGCTCCCCCGCCCACACCGAAGCACCGGTTCGCCGCGCACGTGTACTCGTTCGCCAGCAGCGCGTCCAGCGCGTACTTGTAGGGCGACACGTAGTGCATGAACACCCAGTACGACGGCATGCTCCCCCGCGACAGGAAGTAGCCGGAGAAGAGGAAGAAGCCGGACAGCGACACGGATACCAGGGACATGCCGGCGATGTAGTCCGGCGCGAACGAGCTCACGAACAGCACGAACGAGTTGGCCGTCAGCACCACCGCCCACACCACCAGGACGAACGCCGCGAAGGCGCCCGCCGACGAGCAGAGCCCCACGAGGAAGTAGACGCACACGGAGTAGAGCAGCGCCACCGCGAGGAGGTACGGCAGGAACACCAGCGTGGCCGCCGCCACGTGCGACGACAGCCGGTACAGCCCCGCCGCTGTCTCCGCCAGAACGATGGGCCGCTCCGTCACGAACGTCGGCAGCGTCTCGGTCGTGGAAGTCAGCAGGAAAGTGAGCGTGAAGGCGAACAGGCCCAGCCGCTTGTGCGCGCCGGCCTCGCCGTAGCCAGCGTGGATGTAGATCGTGCCCAGCAGCGTGCCCACGAGCACGGCCTCGAGGAAGTTGGTGAGAAGCAGCTGCTTGCTCCGGTACACCACCTTCCACGCCCTCTTGTACAGTACCACCAGCTCGTGCAGCCTCGACGACGGCGAACCAGTAGACGACGTCGTCGCCGTGGCCATCTTGTGGTGGCTCGACGACGGCGAGTTGAGTTCTTGCGTCGTCGGCTTGGGTTCAGGGGTAGAGGGGGTGGGATGAGGGAGCTGGTCGAGGACCTCAAGGGCGAACTCGAGTGGGTTGAGCTGCGCGGGGGCGACCAGGCCATGGGAGAGGAGGGCAGCGTCGAGGGACGCGAGGGAACCGTGGTGGAGGACGGTGCCACGGGAGAGGAGGAGCAGGCAGTCCACAGCGGAGAGGAGGCGTGCGCTTGGCTGGTGGATGGAAAGCACCACCGTCGTGCCACGCGCGGCCGCGACGGCGCGGAGGCAACTGACGACCACATGCGCCGAGGAGGAGTCTAGTCCGGACGTCGGCTCGTCGAGGAGGAGCACCCCGGGGTCGCGCAGGAGGACGAGGCCTATAGACACGCGCCGGCGCTCGCCGCCGGACAGCCGCGAGGGGGAGACCCGCGTGTGCGCGACGTGGGCGAGCCTGAGGTCCGCGAGGAGCGCGGCGACCGCGGCCGAGGCGGCGACCCGCGACTCCGGGCGCAGCAGCGACGCCGCGAACGCGAAGGTCTCGGAGACGGTGAGCAGGTCGAGCGCGACGTCCGCCTGGGGCACGTGCGCCGACAGCCTGCGGAACGACGACGTCGACCGCAGCGGCGCGGCGTTGAGCAGCAGCCGCCCGTGCGTCGGCGCCGTGCGCGTGGCGAGGATGTCGAGCAGCGTGGACTTCCCGGCGCCGCTCGGGCCCACGACGGCCAGGATCTCCCCGGCCCGAGCCGTGAGGGACACGTCGCGGAGGATGTAGTCCGGCGGCGCCGCGGCCGCGCCGCACGGCTTCAGAAGCTGCGCGACGAGCGACCTCGGCGCGGCGGCCGGCTTGGCGTAGTAGATGTTCCGGGCGGCGAGCTCGTACGTGACCTTCTTGGGCGGTGGAGACGTCGGAGATGGAGGCGATGCCTCGGCATTGTCCGGTTCCGTGACAGTAGTAGTAGTGGTTGCCATTGTGGTGGAAGTGAAGGAGCAGAGGGAGTGCCAGAGGAAGAGAAAGGGGTAATGTACTCCAAATTCGCCGGCCCTGATCAAGGGAGTGCGTTGCGCGACTGCAGCCAGACTGCACTGATTTTTTTTCCCGAGGCGCGCGTGAAGTAAACTATTTCTGTTTACGCGGGCGGTGTGGCCCTGAACGCATGTTGATGCGTCACGAGCGTCGTCTTGCCTCTCTCCTCTCTCCTCTCCCCTACATAACGACGAGCGCCTAACTGTCCCAGGACAAAGAGGGTTCACGAGACACAACACAAGTGGCCGGCTACAGCAGCAGCAACCAAGGACCCGTGAAAGTAACCAACGAAACCGCCTAGCCCTCTGCATCATCGTTCTCTGTCATCCACATGATATGGTCAGATATGCATGAGATAACTATCTGTGCTCCGATTCGTGTATATACTCCTTTTTGTGAGGTTGGGACTTGGGAGAGATGCGATCTTGTCGCATTTAGCATATTTGCAGGAGTGCCATCGTGTACGACTGGCTGTGCTTCCAGCTCCCACCAAGTCCCAACTCTCCATCTCCATCTTTATATAGCTAGTACAATTGTTTCATAGGTACTTGAGTGCAAACTGTCATTCGTCAAACCCGGCAGCCTATTGAGTCTACTGTCTATCAGAAACCAGAAACACTGCTGATTGATTTGGTGTGAGAAAAATATTATTTTAATTTATAATTACGATCGTATAAGCCGAAACGAACATGTTGCATGCATGGATTGGATAATATCAACTGTTTGTTTTGGCTTATACGATCGTGGATTGGATAATATCAGCCTGTTCGTTTCGGCTTATACGATCGTGGATTGGATAATATCAGCATGTTCGTTTCGGCTTATACGATCGTGGATTATAAGTTGAAACAATATTTTTCTTTCACATCAAACTAGCTAGCAGTACTTTTGGCTTATAATCCACGATCGTTTCAGCCGAATCAAACAGACTGATGATCAATCAATACCTAGCTGGCTAGCTTGCTCCATTGATCAGATAATGATTGTGTGTGGTCGCTCATGTGGATGTGGTCGCTCATGTGGATGGATGATGAGCTGTTTTTTTTTTCCTTCTAAATTATGGTTATCAACAGTGCTAATTAAGTATGACCCTAATTTCCTTGGCCCTTTAGCAAATTAAATATGATCCTAATTTTCTTGGCGGCCAGTCTCCAAGGAAAACGCCAAGGAAATTAATTTCTCTTATCTTCTATCTTTGAGTGAATTTGCTCGACAATTTTTGGCCAAGGATCATTTCATTAGTGGTTTAAGGCCTTTCCATGGCGGTTTTTGGCACCGGCAAATCGGGATTGTGGTAGTGGCAGATGAACATGCTGCCAAACAGATTAAAAAAAAAAAATAATGAGAGAGAAAAATTAGCTCTTTAATATTAGACATAGACATAGATATAGCGCCTTAAAGCCACACTTGTGACAAAGTTTCGCACAAAATGAGTCTACGATGTTGGGACAGGGTGCTAAGAAAGTGTGGTAGGCATAGTTGTGGCAGTGAACCAAATAGCTGCCCAAAAAACTATGGCATTACTAACCTTTAGCGTGGCAAGTTTTGGTAACGATCCAATCAAGCCCGTTCAATTTTTCTCACCAAACTTTTTGTGGCAGGCACAGTTTGCCGAAGGTTTATCCTAGCAAACTACGGCACGAACTAAACATGCCCATAGATTTACTGGTCGTGCTGTCGGTTGTCGGATCGATACTATTTTCACTGCCCACCCAAAGATACATAGTAATTTAGGACCTGTTTGAAACATAGAAATGTCACAGAAATTAGGGCCCCTTTGGAAAACATGAAAATTTGTATAGGATTTTCATAGGAATCAATCCATTTTCACATAAAAAACACATAAAACAAGAAAAATTTATTTGTTCCAATGGGACCTTACACAACAATTTCAGAGGAATTAAGGTTATGTTCGGCTGGTTGAAAAACAGCTGATACTGATTTATTGTGAAAGAAAAATATTATTATTTCGCTGAAACGGTATGACGCGAACATGGCCTAAAACTTTGCACGGGCTGGACCAGAGGGCTAGAGCTGGGATGGATGCTTTGGGGCTTCAAAGCCCAGACCACGAAGGGAAATCCAAAAGTCGAGTTGTTCTAGGAAAAATCAGAGTCGGGTCGCCTACTCGTGTTGTGGCCGGAGGAGACACAAGCGAGAGGACTCGGGAGAGATTCCGCCACCGCCATCGCCGGGCTCAGATGCCGCCGCCGCAGTCGGGCATGACCCTCTGCCGCCTTCCCACGGCCACCCTTGGCCTTCCGTTTTCTCTCCCCTGTTTGCTATCTCGTCCCCGCCTGGCCCTCGCCGCACGTCGCGCCAGGGCCGTCGCCGCCAGGGCCTCCTCCTCCTCTCCATCACCGGACTCTTCCTTCGGTTCGCGGATGGAGGATTCCGTCAAGAAGACGGTGTCCGACAACCCCGTTGTCATCTACTCCAAGTCATGGTGCTCGTAAGATTAATAGCCCCAACCGAACCAAACCTAACATTGATTCATTAGCTTCGATTCGCCCTCACCTCATCTGATTGACTGATTCCATGCCCAACGTCGGCAGATATTCCATGGAGGTGAAGGCGCTCTTCAAGCGGATCGGTGTGCAGCCCCACGTCATCGAGCTCGACCATCTCGGTTCGTCCCCTTTTTCCCTTCATGTCCTTCCTTCCAGAGCAATGCTCTCATGCTCTCTCTGGTACTGAACTGAGTACCGCTCTTTAATTCAGATTAACCTAAAGGATTGTCATATATGAAATCATGTATCATTACCATTGATTGTTCGACCGTGCTATATCCCATGTCCGTGGGCAATCAGGTGGCAATGTTACCGAATCATTTTTGTGACTTTGAGATGGAGATGTTTTCTGCTGTTCAAACTCTATGGTTTCTTTAGCTGCACCCCTGGCCAATTCGGGTTGACTGGTTGAGGCCGTTATAAATGTTTGATCAAGTATGTACATACATGAAAAGGTGCTCTTGCACACCCAACACCATCGGGAATTGACAATCTCTATTGCCAAAGCTCTATAGCAGGTGTAGGTTAAGATTACCTAGCCTGAACCTGTGAAAGCACAACATCCCATCAGAAATGAGCATCGATGTCTTGTGGCTTGTGATTCTCCTTGTCCTACCATGGACAGCATCAACACCCGTGTATATGACACTGCTAGTCATGTTCAGTTAGCCAAATGTGCTATGGCCATGCCCATTTTTTGCCCTGTGTGATATAAATGTGTGGTAGTTGTGCACTATTTTGTGCCTCATGGAATATGTATGAATGTCATATACAGTTTTTCGTTCAGGCTCCTCTCCTCTCCACTTTGCCAACCAGTTATATGGTCTTTCAGAACCCACATGTTCATAGTTTCATTTGATTTTCTTCTTCGTCACCATCACCTACAAATCCTATGACATGCAAAAGCACTACCAGTTGAACAGTAGCTTGAACTATTGCATGTACTTGTTTGATTCGTACCAGACATAATGCATTTGGCATGCTCATAAGCACAAGGAACTTCAGCATACTTTTTTATTCCTATGTGTTTTGAGTGTGCTAGTGAAGCTGGCCATGTCAGCATATCTAAACGTACCCTCACTATGCTTGTGTTTTTGTGTTTTACTAAGTCGCATGTCCTGAAGGGTTGTGATTTTTTGGTAATTATTTCGTACTGCAAACGAGAAACAGTGTAGTAATGTAGTGATTCTATATCAATTTTCATGTTGATGTTCTTATGCAACTGACAGCTAATCCCTTTCAGGCGCTCAAGGACCACAACTACAAAATGTATTAGAGAGGCTGACTGGACAGTCTACTGTTCCTAATGTTTTCATCGGTATGCCAACTTTCCCTTTCTCACCAGCATTTTTACTGTCTAGCCTAGCTTTTTTCTTTTGTTCATGACTCAGTAGCAAAATCACTCAATGATTTTTCATATCAAGTAGGGATTTTGCAGTTGGTGCCCCTAAGTGCCAATACCAATACATGTGTCCCATTTGTAGTTTGTTACTGCATGGAAATTAATTCGCACATGCATCTTATTTTGATCTACATTGTATGACCCATTCTTTAAATAATTGTTTTATTCTATTCCAGGTGGAAAGCATGTTGGTGGCTGTACAGGTATTATACATGTGCTCTTTGTTGAATGCTGGTCAATCTTTACAGTTATATACTGCATATATAATACATACAATGTTACAAATGATGATGTCCACCTGTAGATTAGATGAGAGTGTATGTAACCTCATAATATTTTTCCTGTGCTAAGCTATTCCTGCTACATGAGCAGGGGTGAAGCTAGATTAGAAATGAGCCTGGTGCATTCTCCACTGTGTATATTAAGAAATCTATACAATTCTCCTCAAACGGGAAACATGTGCAATTGTAGAAGTACCACATGGTAAAATTGAGTCAACTACTAGCACTTTTTTCCTTCAACCTGGTGCATCTGCACTTGGGTAAGTCAACATAGCTTTGCCCCTGAATTTGAGAGGCTAATTGCTGCAATTTGGCCCAGCCAAAGATACATATTCTTCTAACACTAGGAAGATAATTAAAGCAAAGGCCATCCCCATCTTAAATTTCTTCTGTGCATAACACTAGAAAGATAATGAAAGCAAATGGCCATCTCTAGGACTATAATGGAAGCAAATAGGACATCCATCTTCAATTTAGTGCTTTGTATACATGCGCTATGGCTGCATCTGCATTACAAGGTGGGCTGTGAGTCTGCAAGAATTATATGTGTTTCCTAATTAAGCAGCTAGCATCTGCCAGAGGATGCTGCAAAGGCCGCAGATACTGGACATTCACGTTTCCCTAGTTTGTTACTACAATCACAGCACCCTGTTTTTCTATTGTAGAAAATAAAATAAAATAAAAACTGTCGTTGGTTGCTAATACTGGCATGCCCTATTCTTATGTTGTAGATACTGTGAAGCTGTATGGCAAGGGGGAGCTAGCTAGCATGCTGTCGGACCTGGATATCAACATTAACAACTCATGACAAGTTTGAGCATGTTCTGCAATGATGGATTTGAGGCTTGAGAGACTTGGGCAGCCCTGTATTGAGTTTTTAATTGTTGCAGATCCATTATGCCTGCATGAAAAAAAAACTGGTGTCATTTACACATTTTTGTTTGGTAGCCCGATTAAACCATTGAATTTGACCATTGTATGCACATTGCTAGAAAGAAAAGGGAACGAACTCGAAAATCTTGTGTCCTTGGCAATTTCTTGTCTTTTTCCCCCAAGCACATAGTATTATATTGCAATGCATGGAGTGCTACGATGTGCGGCATGTGCCGTGGAGCAAGAGCAGGTAGCTGAAGCTAGAAAATGAATGGCCTGAAAAATGACTGCCGACGCTAGAAAATGAATGGCCTGAAAAATGCGGTGGTGTAGGGTTTGTTACGCAAGGACAGGGCGGCGTGTACGCAGCCGCGGTTACAGGCGGAGGATCATCGTACTCCTTTTCTTCTTTCTGGTAGCGTTGCAATCACAAGACTCGGGCAGTGTGGTTGAGAACATCCCCAAGAGCCGACCGGGGCGGTGGCTGCTGCCGCCTGCTGCCATGCCACCCTTCAAGATGCATGGACAGATCGATGGATCACTAGACTGGCTACTGCAATGCGGTATAAATAGGGACCCTCGCCGTGCTATGCAATGCAGTGCAGCAGCTCCACCAGCATTGTAGTATTTACCATCGTACTGTCTGCATTTCTTCCTAGTCGTCCCGCAGCAGCGAAGAAGCAGTCAAGCAGAGCATATCACAGAATGCTTTCAGTTGTAGCAGCAGGTAACCGCGGCAGGCTCGTTGCAGCCACCGCGTGCTTCCTCGTCGCCCTCCTGCAGCAGCTGCAGGTGCGCCCGGCCACGGCCACGGCCACCCCGCCTCGCGCCTTCTTCGTCTTCGGCGACTCGCTGGTGGACAGCGGCAACAACAACTACCTGGCCACCACGGCGCGAGCCGACTCGCCGCCCTACGGCCTCGACTTCCCGACGCACCGCGCCACGGGCCGCTTCTCCAACGGCCGGAACGTGCCGGACATCATCAGCGAGTACCTGGGCGCGGAGCCGACGCTGCCGTACCTGAGCCCGCACCTGGACGGGCGCAAGCTGCTGGTGGGCGCCAACTTCGCGTCGGCGGGCGTCGGCATCCTCAACGACACGGGCATCCAGTTCGCCAACATCATCCGCATCCAGAAGCAGCTCCGGTACTTCCGGCAGTACCAGAGCCGCGTGAGCTGCCTGATCGGCGGCGACGCCACGGCGCGCCTCGTCCGGGGCGCCCTCGTGCTCATCAGCCTGGGCGGCAACGACTTCATCAACAACTACTTCCTGTTGCCCTTCTCGGCGCGGTCCCGGGAGATGTCGCTGCCGGACTACGTGCGCTACATCGTCTCCGAGTACGCCAAGATCCTGCGCCAGCTCTACTCCCTGGGCGCGCGCCGGGTGCTCGTCACGGGGTCCGGACCGCTCGGGTGCGCCCCCGCCGAGCTGGCGCTGCGGGGCAGCCGCGCCGGGGAGTGCAACGCCGAGCTGCAGCGCGCCGCCGCGCTCTACAACCCACAGCTCGTGGACATGATCAAGGGCGTCAACGCCGAGCTCGGCGCCGACGTCTTCGTCGCGGTCAACGCCTACCGGATGCACATGGACTTCATCTCCGACCCGGCGGCGTACGGCTTCGTCACCTCCAAGGTCGCGTGCTGCGGCCAGGGCCCCTACAACGGCCTGGGCCTCTGCACCGCCGCCTCCAACGTCTGCCCGGACCGCAACGTCTACGCCTTCTGGGACAACTTCCATCCCACGGAGAAGGCCAACCGCATCATCGTCAGCCAGTTCATGGACGGCACCCAGGAGTACATGCACCCGCTCAACCTCAGCACCATCCTCGCCGTCGACGCCCGCGCCGCTGCCGCTGCCACCTTCAGCTAAGACAAGAGTATAGCATATGAAAACAGACAACATTCATATCATATCATATATATTATGCACCCATCCAAACCCCAGCAGTTCATCATCAGTATTTGTACTCCGATACGATACATCATACATCCAGTAGCATGCATTGCACCCTAGTATTAGTACGCACGTACGGTTCCTGCTGAGAATCTGAAATAAAAACGAGCTGTACTTCAATATTCAGAGTAAGCATACACATATATCTCTAATAAAGGTCATGCAGCAGCCAGACAAGAAGCAAGCGCGCAGCACATTTGATTTATTTATTGCCAATTAAAAACAAACATCTCTCCATTTATGCAGTCGTCGTTACACTTGGCCTTGGGGATATATACCACTCTATATTTATAGTGTAGTTGCTGTAGTATAATGCCAGCAACCACCCAGAAATTAGTCCCAAATGGAATAAGGATGAATCAATGAAACATTGATCACAATTCACGGGTACAAACTTAACCCATTCCACACCACAATCTGTTATTGGTATTCATTCATACATAGTGGTAGCCAGAATTGACATGTGGCTTTCATAAAATGACCACATTGGGGATTCACGTATCATGTGCATCAGCATCAACCGGCAAAAGTGTTTGCTTCAAGGGGAAAAATGGAGAAAAGAAGCAGCACATCCATCAGCTGAAATCACTTCCCAGTATGAAGGCGTGTATTTCTGACCAGCTAGAAACCGTATAAAGGACTCCAGACCGTGCCTTGAACACGGACACATCTTCCTCCGTCAGTTGCCTCTGCTTCTCTACTAGACCAGGGAACAATGGGACAAAAGAAACACCAAACTGTTTGCCCACTCTACGCAAGATTGTGCTTGACCCAATGACGATACCAATATCTGCCTCCAATAAGCAGAGCAAATCTCCAACTGAGTCTCCAATATAAACAGACAGGAAGGACACTGTACTGTCAACGTCACTTCTGATGCTCTTGAACTTCTCAACTTTGTCTAGCGGAGACTGCATCTTTCTGTCAATCTCACCAGTTGAAACAGATTCCTCAAAGGCAAACTCGTTCGAGTGTATGTTCAAACCATCTAGACAACCGGCTGCATGGAGGCATGAAAATGCAAAGGAAAGTAACTGCCAGTTAAGAATGGTCTATTCGAAACAAATTTGAGATATTGATTGTTAGCTTATAGCAACACAGGCTAGCAAATTAGCTTAATCATGGTGGTGTCATTGTCATCAGAGAGACAGAATACCTGATGAGAAGGCGGATCTTATAAGTTCTGCACACCAGCAATAGGAAAGAATGTGGATATCCAAATTGAGGTTCTCCCTTGTTTTTACAATCTTCTGAAAGAAATTTTTACAGCCACCTTGAAGAATAAGCCGCTCCCCAGCTTTCCTGATGTCTTCTAAATTCATTCCCCTCAGGACACCAGAGTCAACAACCCTAGAATTTGCAAGCTTCTCAAAGTCAGCTAGCACCTCCAGGCCTTTATACAGTTTATCATAATCTAGTGACTTTGCTGTAATAAAACAAAAAACACAAAAACAATCATTAAATCATTCAAGCATGGCTTATCTACTATTGCAAAATCACAAACCAATAGAAACAAATGAAACACAGAGGCCATGATGCACATACATTCTTCTGGAGGAAGCAGTCTTTCCATGCATTCCTCATACTCTTCCATGTATTGCTTAGAGAGCATGTTCCATGAATTTCTCAGGTCTCCCGATTTTGTACGGTCGAGGTTATTATCAATCCCACATTGACTTGCCTTTTGGAATGACAAAATTGCAATCTCCGCCAAAATAGCAGATGAATCAACAACAGTGCATGTCAAATCAAAATCAGAAAAGATCAAGAGTTTATATTTTGGATCACAATATCTTGAAAGTGGAGCTACAACAGGTTGGTCCACAAGCTGAGCAGAAAAGAACTCCACTTCCAGTTTCATAGCTTGCTGGTAGAGCTTGCCAATAATCTCAAGCTCCTCACCAGTTAATGAGACACTTAGTTTGTCTAGCAGTTCTTCTATTTGGAGTGCGTTGTCCTGTGGAGAAGAGGGTAAACGAGAGATGATTCAGCACATGAACCAATTGCATTGAAGCACTACAGTAAAACGTAGGAGCACTGATGTATAGAACGATGATAATTCTATACCTCAAAATCACTGGATGCATATGTGTTAATCCATTTCTTGTATGGGTGATTTTCATCTTGTTTAAGGAAAGCCATGAGTTCTTTGCCTAGATATGCATAAAGCCTCATGCATGGAGTCATGGCCCCAACAGTGTATGCAGCAATTTTAGTCTTCTCAAATGGAGTAACCATTTTGTCAGAACCTTTTGTGCCATCAACTTTTCCAGCCGCAGTTGCAAGTAGGAAATCAGTGTACTTGGTTGTAGCTGCGCTTGGAGGTATCTCTTTGGTAGGATCAACTCCCCACTCCTGCAAATCGAATAGACAGGAGGATACCCGATTGAGTATAAAAAAAATAAGTTGGGAAGAGGATTAGTTAGCAGTTATTGAATCAGAGAGGAAAGATGAAGTTCAGTTTCAAGAACAATAGATATATCTCTAGCAACTTATACAATACATCAGCTGGTAAGCATTTTGGTTGTAGATGCAGGGCCTTAAAGTGTACCTTCATTAATTGAATACGTCATAGTTATAGACTTCCATATAAAAATGCATGACCAGGATATTTTAGAAGTGTTTGCTCAAGTTCTCTCAGTTTAGAGCTAAAATCATGGGCGAAATGATTCTCCCATCCGTCTTTTTTTTCTTCCCAAAGTCTCCCCGCACCTTTACCTATCCTGTATGGGACCGGGACTTTTTTTACTGCATTCCTCCGGATTCTCCCTGCCTTCCTCTCGATTTTTTTTTACCGTGTTCCACTTGATTTTTCTCCCTCCACATGCTCCTCTTTTTTTTACCTTTTTTTCATTTTCTTTCACCTCCATACTACTATTCTATTTACCGGTTCCCCCATCACACATGCCTTTCACTCGTATTTTCATGTGTGTCGTACTCCTTTTTTTTACCGGTTTTTCCCATCACGCGCACCTCCCACCCCTGTTTTTTCATGTGTGTTCCTGCATAGTTGTTTTTCTAAAAATTCGAAAGGCGACATCACAAGCCTTTGAACGTTTGACCCTTCCCTACGAAAGAAGGATTCCCCCACTAAGTTATTGTTGCAGTTTTAATTATATGAACAAAACTTGTCATGTTGGAACCTGATTGAATAGATCGTCCAACTAATTATACAAATGGAAATTTAGAGCGGTTTATTGTCCAGTCCCGTCTAAACAAACACTACGCCAAAACAGCACAAAGAATACAGCCTATTTAGTGACGCAGAAACAAAATGTGTCTCTAAAGCTCACAACCGTCCAATAGGATCCAACAGACCAAACTTTCTTCGTGTCCGTACGAGTTAGAGTAGTGTGTCTAAGCACAGTGCGGAGTCCGATTCCACAGCAAATTGGAATACGAACCGTTTCATGATCTGCCACTCTCTCATGCACCCATATGAGTTAGAGCAGAGTGTTTAGGCATAGTGCGGAATCCGATCGCAATACGAATTGGAACGCATGACGTGATCAATGATAAATATCTAAATCTCCCGTGCCCATGAGTTAGAGCAGCACGCAGCTAGGAATAGTACATAGTGATAGACAGTAAAGCCAATAGGCTTAGCATCCTTAATTATGTTTACACAGGGGATTACAATATATAGAGGCCCAAGGGGCCTGTTCACATAGCCACATAGGGTGGCGTACAGCTGACTTAAATAGCAGTAAAAGACTAGCACAAAGACCAAAGGGATTAGTAGCACAGTAATCTAACACCCCCCCGCAGTCGGAACGTCGCAGCAGCGGACATTCAGACTGGAGCGAAAGTCTTGAAAAACTGAGGTAGGCAGCCCCTTGGTGAAGACATCAGCAAACTGAGAAGTAGTGGGTACATGAAGTACACGGACAGCACCAATAGCAACACGTTCCCGGACGAAATGGAGGTCGATCTCCACATGTTTGGTGCGCTGATGTTGCACAGGGTTGGTGGAGAGGTAGACGGCGCTCACATTGTCGCAGTAGACGAGGCAGGCCTTGTCAAGAGGATGATGGAGTTCCTGGAGAAGCTGCCGCAGCCAAGAAGCTTCAGCGACGCCGTTAGCAACAGCCCGGTACTCGGCCTCAGCGCTAGAGCGAGAGACAGTGGGCTGCCGCTTAGAAGACCAGGAGACAAGGCTGCCTCCGAGGAATACAAGCATAGCCGGAGGTGGAACGGCGTGTGTCAAGGCAACCGCCCAATCAACATCGATGTAAACAACAAGTTGTGTTGGGGAAGTCCGAGGAATGGCGAGGCCATGATCAAGAGTCCCCTGGAGATACCGCAGGATCCGTTTGGCAGCAACAAGATGACTCTCCCGAGGATCGTGCATGTGAAGGCAAATTTGTTGGACAGCATATGCAATGTCGGGCCTGGTGAATGTCAAGTACTGAAGAGCACCCGCGAGGCTGCGATAAGCTGTGGGATCAGCAACAGAGGGACCAGCAGTGGCAGATACTTTGGCACAGGTGTCAACGGGAGTGGAGCATGGTTTGCAATCAGCCATGCCATGACGAGTCAAAATGTCCAGTGCATACTGACGTTGAGAGAGGAATAAAGAGTCACCTCGTCGCTGAACTGCCATGCCAAGAAAATGATGAAGAGGGCCAAGGTCCTTCATGGCGAACTCCTTCATCAGAGCATCAATAACTCGGCGGAGAAGCTGCTGGGAGGAGGCAGTGAGAATAATATCGTCCACGTAAAGCAGCAGATAGACAGTCTCTGAACCATGGCGGTAAACAAAGAGAGAGGTGTCTGAGCGAGCTTCAGTGAACCCCAGGGAGAGCAGGAATGATGCAAAGCGGCTGTACCATGCACGGGGAGCTTGCTTCAGGCCATAAACGGATTTGTTGAGTCTGCAAACATGCTGAGGGAGAGCAGAGTTGGTGAATCCGGTTGGCTGGAAGCAGTACACAGTCTCTGAGAGGGTCCCTTGAAGGAAGGCATTCTTGACGTCAAGTTGATGAATCGGCCAATCCCGGGAGTGAGCTATAGTGAGGACAGAGCGGACAGTGGCCGGTTTGACAACAGGACTGAAGGTTTCATCGTAGTCAATACCGGGGCGTTGAGTGAAGCCACGAAGAACCCAACGAGCTTTGTATCTCTCCAGCGAACCATCAGCGTGGAATTTATGTTTGAAAACCCATTTTCCGGTGACCACGTTGGCATTGGCGGGCCGAGGGACAAGCTCCCAAGTGTTATTGTCCATGAAGGCGTCATATTCTTCTTCCATGGCGCGACGCCAGTGAGGATCAGCGAGGGCATCGCGGCATGACCGGGGAATGGGAGAGCAGACCCTCAAAGATGAAGAATACGAGGCTGAATGTATCCGGTCTTCCCACGAGTCATCATACCATGGTTGTTGTCAACCGGTGTGTGACGGTACTGGCACCAACCGGAGGACCATCTTTAACATATCTGAAGTGGGGGAAGGTATGATTTGGAGCGGCGAGGAGGAGCAGCAGCCGGTGATGATGGTGATGGTGGATGGTGGGGTGCGAGTGTACACTTGGGTGACAAAACTTCAAAAGTTTCTTGCCATAGGATCTGCAGGGATGGATGGCGCTGGAGTACACGTGGGTGACCGGCGGTCTCGGTAGAGCTTCAGCCATGGGCAGTACTGAGGAGCAGCAGGTGCCGGAGCAGCAGGCGCCGGGGCTGCAGCAGGCACCGGGGCTGCAGCCGCCGGAGCAGCAGTAGCTTGGGGCTGCAGCAGGTGCAGGCTGCAGCCTGGCAGCACACAGGCAGGCGCTTCTTTTGGCGGTGTGTGGAAGCCTGGGGGAGGGCGCCGGGGTGCTGGCTGGCGAACGGGGGCAGAGCAATCAGAGCATCCTCAGATACCTCAGTGCAGCCTGCAGAGGGGCGGAGCGGGGCACCGGAAGTTGTACCTGCAGACGAAGAAGGAGCTAGCAGCTCATTGTTAGTTAGAAAGTCAAGCTCGTGAGGAGTGGAGGTCCGGTGTCGAGAGAAGGGAAAGGTCGTCTCATCAAAGATGACATGACGAGAGATGATGACACGGTTAGTGTTGAGATCGAAGCACCGGTATCCTTTGTGATCAGGAGAGTAGCCAATGAAGGCGCACAGGGAAGAGCGAGGGGCAAGTTTATGAGGGGTGGTTGCGGTGAGGTTGGGGTAGCAAGTGCAACCGAAAGTACTGAAGATCATGATAGGCGGGCTGGGTGCCGTGGAGAGCAAAGTAGGGTGTGCTCATGTCTAGAGTCTTAGTGGGAAGGCGATTCGGGGAGGTGGGTGGTCATGTAGCAAGGGCATCATCACCCAATAAGAAGGGGGCATGAAGGCTTGAAATAGTAGAGTGCGGGTGACATTGTTGGTGGTGCGAATCATGCGCTCGGCTTTGCCATTTCATTGTGAGGTGTAAAGGTGACATGCTAAGCACAACACCTTTAGCGAGAAAGAAGGCACGGCAAGAGAGTTGTCAAACTCACGCCCATTGTCACATTGGGAGATTTGATGGTGCAACCAAACTGAGTATGCACATAGGCGAAAAAAATTAGAGAGCATGAGAAAAAGTATCGGACTTGAGGCGCAGTGGAAAGGTCCAAAGAAAATGGGAGCGATCATCGAGGATAACTAAGTAATATTTGAAACCCGGATACTTTGGTAATAGGTGATGTCCATGATCACAATGCACCAAATCAAAATTCTTAGTTGCTCTAGAGGAAGAACTATGAAATGGTAAAGCGAACATGGCGCCCAAGTCGACACGCATGATGAGAGGAATCATCGCAGCTTGCATCTGCAGACTATGGAAGAAGACCGAGCAAGACTCAAGGGTAGTCGCTGCGGGATGACCGAGACGACGATGCCGTGTAGTCGGGGAGGAGTTGCCACCAAGGCGAGGATGGATGGAGATGCAGGAAGTCGCAAGGTGTAGAGGGGTCCCGAGTCAGTTACATCAAGGAGGGTGTTTTGGAATGGAGATCCTTCATGAAACACCAAGAGGGTCAAATTCATCTGAAACGGAATTGTCGGTGGTGAATTTGCGAACGAAATAAGATTTTAATAATATCGAGGAGCTAGAAGGACATTGTTGAGGCAAAACGGGTAGGAAGAGTGGAAAAACCAGTGCCAACCCTTGGAAGAATGGCACCGCTGCCAACAACAATAGAAGATGGAAAAAAGAGGAAGATGGCGAATGCGTGATCATACCGAGGTTGGAGGCAATATGGGAGGAAGCACGAGTCAATCACCCATTCCGAGGAGCTTGGTGGTGGTGACAGGGTGACGGTGTCAAGGCGTTGGCGAGATTCTCAGTGATCCATGGCGACCAAGTGGAGGTGGGGAGCCTCTTTGAGGCGAGTAGTATGCCCCGGGGATGGCGATGGAGTGAAGTATCCCGGGGGCATACCAGCAACCAGAGCTTGCTGTGGTGATGGGGACTGGACGACGCGAGGCGGTGGAGCACGAGGACTGCCAGGAGTGGACCCGGGCCACATATGAATGGACCCATCCGGGGTTGAGGACGAGGGCCCTTCTTTGGCCTCCTTGAGCTACTTGGTCTTTGGTTGCTTGAAGAGCCACCACCCGTGAGCCGCCTTAGCCACGTCCACGCTTGGGTGGCGTCATGGCTATTCGCGGCCGTTCTGTTCGGTTGTTGCCCCTAACAATCGATGAGGAGGGAGGAGGCCGTGACTTCTTTGGAGGATGAGGCGACGAGGGCGAAGGCGGTCTTGAAAGGTGGCGCCATGTTGAGCTCGCCGGTGAGGAGATCAGCGACGGACATCGATGAAAGAGGGAAAAGGCTTCTCGAGTGGACGAGTGCGACATGGCGGAAGCGTTCATTGAGTCCAGCAGAGCGTTTAGCACCGTTGCCAGACGGTCAGAATGGGCTCGCCAAAAGGTCGGCAAGGGCATCCGCCATATTCTTCATCTTATGGTGATTCGTCGATGGAGAGGATAAGTGCGAAACTTCGGCGAGCGGCATAAGATGGCGTGACTCGCGGTTGTTGAAGAAGCTGGCTTTGTTCGAGGCCGAGCCACGCCGCCCGAAAGCAGGGATACCGTCGCGCTTCGTGGACGACGCCGAGGAGGTCGGGGAGATGGTGTTGAAGATCCCACGAGGCGACAGCGCGATCCATGCGAGACCACGCCGCATCGTGGGCATGAAACGACATCGGCGAGGACATGGTCCTTCCGAGCGAAGCACCGAGCGGCGGCGAGGATGTAGCCACGCCACTTGGAGTAGTTGGAGGGACTGCAGGTCGAGGACGATGGGAATCAAATTCTTGATGTTACGCATGCGGCAGCTGACCGGCTATGGAGGCGAGCAATGGCCGCGGCAGAGGTGACAGAACGCGCAGTCGTCGTCATTGAAGCGTCGTCGCGGGAGCGATTATGAGCTGTTCGCGTTCGCGGAGGCGGAGGCTCGCCGCTCGAGCGTCGGCTTTGCTTTCGGCCCGCATCGCGTCGGCGGCGCGGCGGGCGGGCAGACGTTCTCGAGCATCGGCGGGCGGACTTGAGGAGGCCGCCTCCTGGAGAGCTGCTGGGACCGCTTCGGCGTTAGAGTCCCGCAGGAGGCGGCCTCGTCTTCCAGCTTCTCTTGCATGGCGAGGGCTTCGTCGCGAAGCTTTTTGTGCATGGGCGCCGGGCCGGGCGCTGAGCTCGAACCGCCCGGATGGAGGAGCGACCATGGAGAGGAGAGAGGGGACAGCGTAGCCTTGGCCCGACGAGGTATGCGACGGCCGTCCGCCGAGTCGAGGGCACGCGGCGCTTGTGGGTGGCAGAGGTATGCGCAGACGACGCGAGAAAGCGTGGGATGCGAGCGGTGGAAAAGCGGAGCGAGGGGAAAGGGTACAGGACAGATTAGTCTTTTGATACCATGATAGACAGTAAAGCCAATAGGCTTAGCATCCTTAATTATGTTTACACAGGGGATTACAATATATAGAGGCCCAAGGGGCCTGTTCACATAGCCACATAGGGTGGCGTACAGCTGACTTAAATAGCAGTAAAAGACTAGCACAAAGACCAAAGGGATTAGTAGCACAGTAATCTAACACATAGTTCGATTACCAAAAGAATTGAAAAGCATGACCTGATTTCAGGTAACGACGCAACAACCTCAACGTCCTGTTGCAACACACAAGTATGTTTGCTAGGATGGTATGAGGACTCAAGGGGCATAACAAAAACCTCTTATGTAGTGAAATATCTGAAAACTGAAATACCCTTAATAACAACAGGCAACAGTTAGCAAGATTTTCAATTCAACAGTGTTAACATGCTAATAGAGATCTATTCAGTAGTACGCAGGTTAGGCTTACAAGTAATCAGAGGATGGGAGGCAAAGGTACTGGTAAGAAGTGAAGACCAAAAAAGAAAAACAGTATGTGCAATAATTCGTTTGGGGAGGAATGCATGGACCTCTCACTCCGACAAATCAAATGGTCAAGGAAATGAAACAAATCATAAAAAGGAAAATAATTTAATCACAAGTTATACCACCAGATAGGACAGACAACATTGAACTGATAGGACTATCTTATACATATATACTAAACCGAATTACAATTTTTTTTAAAAACTATGTTGGCTTGTAAGCATTTGGGTATAGATGCAAGATTTCAAAGTGCAATACTGTAAAATAGGTGCACAGTTGGCATAGTGGACTGCTCAGGTATGGCTTAATTAATCCAAGACAACAGCAAGCAGCAAAGTTGCATATGCACAGCACAATCAGGAATAGTTAAGATACACAATCTAGATATATGTTAGGGTCAAAGCTACAAGATGAATATGGGTGATGTGGGGCAGTTGATTTATCTTTATTGAAATAGAACAGATTAGTTTCATCAGTATTAGTAGTTTCCTAAAGGATCCATGTGTATATCCATCATGTTATAGTAGGATGCTAGGCTCAGCGGTGAGGCTTGGCCTGCAACGGCAAGCAACTCATCCATTCATTGGGGATTCCATGGGAAACATATGGGTGAGGAGAAAATGACCTTCAGGACGGAGGCGTGGAGGTTGAGCTCTTGGAGGATGGCCTTCCTGAGGGCGGCGATGGTGGCCCTGTCGTCATCATCGTCAGCGCAGTCCTCGGCCATTTCGTACCTGATTGATTGCGCCACGGGAGGAAAGGAAGAATCAGATCAGATCCAGTCCAGTTCTGGGAGTGGTTAGGCGAATCAAATCGGGCGGAATCAGGAAGGAGGGAATCGGACTAACGCGCGAGCGAAGGCGTGAAGGAAGTGCGCGTCCTGCGCGATGTAGTGGCGGAAGACGTCGAGCCGCAGGTTGCCGGCGGCGAGGGAGAGGATGAAGGGCGTGTATGCGGCGAAGGCGGCCTCCCTCGTGGAGGCAGCGATCCAGAATCGGCGGGCCGCCGAGCCCTCGGCAACGACTGCGGCGGAAGCGGGAGAAGGAGATGACGCCATGGACCTTCTACCTTCGCCTGTCGAAGACCAACAGGAGGAGGAGGAGGAAGAAGAGGAGACGAGATGAGGGCGTCGCAGCGGGAGGCGGAGGCGGCGGAGAACAAGCATATACGTGTGTATGTGTGCAGAGAAAGAGGAGGAGAAGAGGGAGGGGAGCCTCGCCGCCGGCCGGCCAATACTCCCGCACTCACTGCTGCTACAAGACGACGAAGACGGGGAACTCCAACCGGGAAGAAAGTGACCGGCAAATGTCCCCCTTCTTTTTTTCGGGATAAACGGGGCTTTCTCAGACAGCAGCGTCAGGTTTTGCGCTACGTTTTAGCAGCGTCAGATTTTGCTCAACGTCTTTAGCAGCATATACAGAAAAACGATATATATTTACCATATATGCTCGCGTCGTTTTTAGCAGTAGAGACAAAAAAAAAACGATATATATTTATCATTTGTGATCGCGTGGTACGCCAGCTCCGCTGTCCAGCTCGGATCTGAGTCAACAGCCCCATACGAAAAGTCAGTCATGCCCCTTCCCTCGTTGCTGCGATAGATTAAAGGATGGACGGCTCGTGATAGCCGCAGACAATGATGATAAGAACAAAGCCTATCGCAACTAAATCAGAGTACAGTAGTTGCTCAACCGAAACCCATTGATCTGTTTTAGGACTTCAACTTTCAACTTGCAGTGACAAATAAGTAATCCAGGGGGCCAAGGAACTTAACTGCAGTGTTCATCCTAATGCCTACCATTCACGCTACAAACAACAAAATCGATTGGTCTCCTATTTCCTAGATCCGCTCCTCATTTAAATAGGTTTCACACATTCGACATCCAACGCAAGAAGCAGAGATGGGGATTAGAAGAGGAAGGTACCTGCTGAGAATCGAGGAACTGGTGCGCTTGCCATGGTCGCCATCACCGCAGATGCGCTTCTCCTCCCAGTTGATGCCGCTGCCGTGGATCTGGACACTATCGCCACAGATTCGCTACTCATCGCCACGGACGCCGCCTTCACTCTCCCTGATGTGGTCGTTGAGCCCGTAGCCATGTGCGCTCGTGGCCGCTCTCGGAACAACGTCGCCGCCGCTCGGTGCTGCGCTCGCTGCGCTGCCGCCGAGACGAGCGTGCGAGCCTGCGAGGCTTCGAACGAGAGAAAGCCGATAGTTGTTGTATTTCTTTTCGGGCCTCCTAGGGCGCAGGCTCGACCGCCTCCTTGACCGCCGCCCGCTAGCAGGTGTCCACCATCCAGCGCACCGCGTCGGCGACCCGGGAGAGCACGGGTACGGCGCGGTTCCGGTTGGCGCGCAGCTGGCGTATGTGAGCGCCTCGAGCGCGGCGGTGGTGGCAGCGAGGCGGTAGAGCCTGCGCATGAGCGACGCAGCGTCGGAGGCGGAGGCGACGACGAACGCGCCCGCGTTGGAGCAGCCGGCGAGGAGGTCGGCGTAGACGTGGTCGAAGCCCATGAGTGCTAGGGCCGCGCACCGGCGGCCAAGGCGCGAGGCCACGGCCGCGACGCGGTTGAGTGCGTCGAGCTTCTCGGCGAGCGCGAGCGTGAGGAGGCACGCGTTGTCGCCGGGCACGACCGCGCGCACGGCGTGGGAGCCAAGGCAGGGCGGGCCGAGCAGGCGCGCCGCCTCCGCGTCAGAGAGGGAGTGGTAAAGGTTCGCCGCGCGCGACATGGCGTTGGCCACCTCGAAGGACAGGATGCCCACCCTACCGTCGCCCGTGGCCGCCGCCTCAACGCCTCCCTTGGCGACGTCGTCGCCATGGAGAGCACCTTGTGCACCAGCGGCTCCGCCACCATGCCTCCGGCCTCGTCGTCAAGCACTCAGCTCAGGAGGATTTCGTGCCTGACTGACTAGCTTCACATGGACTGCAAGAGCTCCTCCCCTTCCTCGCTGTGTGGTGATGGCCAGAGGTTGAAGAAGAATATGACTTGTGGGGTCCGTGTGTTAGTAATGGGGGAGGGAGAAGCCAGGGGCGGTCATTTTACCTGAGCCTGCTGATTCGGATCCGAGCTGGACAGCGGAGCTGGCATGGCACACGAGCACAAGTGGTAAATATATATCGTTTTTCTCTCTCTGTTGCTAAAAACGTAGCGCCAAACCTAAAGTTGCTATTTGAGGAGACGCCATCCGTTATAATGGTAAAAAGTTAATTATCCCCTGTTTTCTCCCTTTCTTCCATATTTATAAACCCAATATATAATTCTTCCTTATTTATAAACCCAAATATATAATTCTTCCTTATATAATAGTACAGTATAGAACTCCGTAATAAATGAAGTGCTAAATTCTCCTATGAGAAAAAGAGGATATTACGTAGGGAGACTGCCATTTACCTACATACTTTCTCAGTACTTAAAAATAAAGTCGTTTTTGGATAGGACTCAGGTCAAACATTGGGAATATAAATCATGAATAACTTTTAAGTTGTTGAGTTTAGAAATATGAAAACCATATGCATAGATTTGTCTTGAAAAATACTTTCACAAAAAATTACATATATCAATTTTTGATAAATATCTTTATAAAAATAAGTAATCAAAATTATGCTTTGGAGACCGTAGTTGCTGTCCAAAACGACTTCATTTTTTAGTATGGAGGGAGTAATTAGTAGAGAATCATGTACAAACCCAATATATAATTCTTCCTTATTTATAAACCCAATAAATAATTCTTCCTTATATAAATACAGTAATAAATTGCTAAATTATCCTATGAAGGAAACATGATACTCTCTCCATTCCGGATTATAACACGTTTTGTCTTTTCTATATTCATAGCTTTTACTATACACTTAAATATATGTTATGTTTAGATATATAGTAAAAATTTTGAATCTAGAAATGTTAAAATGTCTTGTAATTTGGGATGGAGAAAGTATTACGTGGAGAGATGACCATTTACATAGATGATTAGTAGAGAATCAAAATCAAATGGAGATAAAGGCCCTGTTTGGTTGAGCTGTGGCTGTGGGAAAAAACTGCTGTGGACTGTGAGCTGTGGAAAAGCTGCTGTGGGTTGTGAGCTGTAGAAAAGCTGAAAGCTGTTTGGTTAAACAAGTATAAAATATACCTTTTATCTTTATCTCTCTTGAAACAACTATGGAAGAGCTTTTTATTCCACCAATTTCGAAAAGCAGAAAGCTAAAAGCCAAAAGCAGGGTCAACCCAGCTTTCAAAAATGAACTACGGAAAAGCAGCTGCTTCTGAAAAAGCACCCTCCAAAAGCAGCCCCTTTGGTTGGGCTTTTGGCTTTTGAGGCCAAAAGCCAAAGCCAAAAGCCCAACCAAACGGGGCCAAAGTCTATGTTCGCTTCTCTTATAATCCGTACTTTTCAGGTTTATTTTTTCAGCCGGAACAATAGTTTTTCTCTCACAACAAATTAGTCGGAACAGTGTTTTTTCAACGAAACGAACGGAACCAAAGACAACGAGATAGCCTACGTAATGTATATCTATCTATTGTCTCAGATCTGGCCTCCCAAAATAAAGTTGTAGTACTATGGTAGATATGTACACACAACTTTCAATGTATGAGAAATCCTTGTGATTCGACTTTCGACCTAAAACTAGAGTTGTTCCCATTTAAAACTAGGTATTGTGACTTGACCGGTCCTGGATGTGAGAGTTAAGTGTGCCCTTGGTTGGTTAGCACATTTTATCAAACCAAATTTGTGGTAAAATTTTGGTGCCAAATTAAAAAACCATAAGTTTCTTACACCTACGTTGGGAGAGTAATTGCTTGGACGACAAGTACTACCTCTCGAAAACACTTGACACATTTGACTTTACACGGTTTTTTATGTATAATATCTTTGACCACTATAGTTTTTAGAATATCTATATCTATTCTATAATAATAGTAATAATAATAATAATAATAATATATAATAATAATAATTAATATAATATTAAAGAATAAAGTGTTTTTTCCAACCTTTTTTTAAAATTCCTAATATTGCCCTAAGCTTCGTAGGTTCACCTGTTTTTTGTTTTTTATTTTTGAGAATTTTGTTTTTTTTCGTCACATGCAGGATTCTGGCGGACGTCGTGTTTCTTGTTTTTTTTTGTCTTTTTTGTTCCTTTTTCTGTCCGTCTGCAAGGTTATCCCCCCCCTACATGTTTCCATGGACGTCCGTTGTCTCTGTCTTTTTCGTTTCCTTTTTCTTCGGTCCATTCACACCGTTGTTTTTTCTTATTTGTTTTCTCCATGTGTTTGTTTTCTATAAATATCAAAAAAAGAAGAATAAAAGTAACCATCTTTCAATTTTTGACTCTTCTCTATAGACAAAAAAATTCACCATAAAAAATTTAATGTAATTTAATTAAGAACAACATTCATTTTGTTAGAATCTAGTTATGATGGATCCAACTAATGTAAACTAAAATCTAGCAGTTGTTGAGTCCAATGTAAAGTTGTCGAGTCCAATGTAAATAAATACGCCTCCTTTGGGAAGTGCACATAGACCAATGTTTGTTTCCCATAAATATAAAAACGGAGAATAAAAACAACTATAGGTCTTTTAATACTCGACTCTTTTCTACAAATAAAAATTTTCACCATCAAATTTTTGACATATTGATTAGTGAATAGACCAGTACTTGACATACTAGCAATTGCCTCCTTGTCGACTTAAATAAAATATTAGAATTATATACTTTTATGGGTCCTCGAAGGAAGTCACAAAACTCGATATTTAACTATAATAATGTATGGATAGTATGAAAATTAAAATTACAATAAATTTTTAGTAAGTATTTTTTGTGAAAATCTATCAAATCTCTATTTTAGTTCGATACGGGCTTAATAGGACATTGCCATATTATTACTAACATTAACTTATGTCATAAATGTCATGGTCATGGTTTTAAAATTTTATGAAAAGATAAAACATAAACATATGTATAACATTCATGTTATTATTTTCTTTGAATATTTGATTGCTTATTTTCTCCTGTTACACTGTATTAGCATATTTGACATATTATAAAAGAGAAAATT